ACATTAGGGAGCAGTAATACCCAAAATGACGTTTAGTGTAAGTAAGCAGTGATTTGTAGCTTAGATGCGTCATGTTTGTGTTGAACTAAGTATGTATTTATTATTCCAGTCTATACACAAACTTAATTTAAAAATGTTGTTGTTAAAATTATTAAAATTATAGCGCTTTCATCGTATTACGATGTTACATTTATTCGGCGCTTATTATTAACGACATGTTTCGATGCTATTATTGCATCATCTTCAGGTTTTTATCGTTATTTATATCTTTAAAACTATTATATATTTTAATGCAACCATTTATTGATTACAAGAGAAGTAAATTAACGCTTCGGAATGAAAAGGGCACATGTCAGAAAAAAGCGTAGTTTTAGCGAAGTGAAGAAACTTTTTAATAGGATTTGAGGCGAGTATGAAGATGACCGTCTTCTGGGTTATAGCGCCGTATAGTCTGGTAGAAGTTTACCGACGTTTCAGAGGTACTTGCTGCCTCCATCATCAGGGCTAAATTTGAATGGGACATGTGCTGCTTTCGTAGAATTTCGTGCAACTGCGCTTGAAAAGGAACGCAAGGCCACGTTTCTTACAGCATTTCCGCCCAAATATCTGACTTTCAGTCGAGACTACAGCCCTAAATTGGGCAGTATTTCGGATTTCCGTGTAATTAAAAGTGGTTTTCTGCGTTTGAGCTGTTAGTTACGCTTTATTATTTCAGCCATAATCGCTCATTTGGTAAATTTGCACACATATTTCACCATTACTTCTGTCACGCGTGATCGTGCTCGTGCGCCGTTCGGCCTCCTCATCACAGCCCAGAAAACAGCATTTGAAATCGTCACTGCCTTGAGGAAACTTTGGTTTATCCCGTTAGGGGACGCAATTCGTCTGTTCAGAGAAATGTCTCACATTAAGGAAATTTCTGCATATAATTTGACGCTCACAGGGCGGTGAGTCCGAAGATGGCTACCTTCTGGGTTTGCTCGCCGTGTGGTTTGGTAAACGTTTACCGACGTTTCAGAGGTCCTTTGATAAGTCGGTAAACTTGTAAACTTCTACCAGACTACACGGCCTTAGGTAAAGCGTTAGTTCATGCACTAAATTTGGAGGCTACGAAGTTGTGGATGACTGAGGTATTTCTCCTGGTGCATACCGTGAGGTATTCCAGCTTTTTTGTCGCGTACATAGCGAATCTGAGGCCCTATACACCTCTTATTGGCTTTGTTTTCAGATCAATAAATTCTGTCACAGAATCAAGCTGAATTTTGTCTAGCACAGGGATAAGAATTGTCGTGCTTTTCTTCAGTCCCCCCGTGCATCGATTTGGCACCACGTGTGGGCACAGTAATGACTTATTTTTATGATCGCGATTTTTATGTCTCAATTTTACTTATCCTTACAAGTCCCTTCCTATCATCGTAAAATTACTGTTCAGGCCGCAAATCGAATAGGATGTTAGTTTCGACAAACTAAAACTCAAGAGAAGTTTTCATTACTTAAACATTGCAAGACGACTGCAAAAATCTTAACATTTCTCTCAAATATACATTGATTTAATCTCGTAGATATGTGAGAAAATATTTTACATTTGAATTACTTAAGGGGCTGTATTCTTTTCCTTGAGTAGAACAGAATCGAATTAATAACAGAAAGGTGTTGCACTGACAAAAAGATTTTTCATATTCTGATGCCTTATTTACACCATCGGAATCAGGTGTTATGATTGTTGCCGTACTGACTTTCTCAAGGAAACTCGAAGAGAAGTTTCCTAAGAAATCCGGCATGACCAAAACTTTGCCAAGAAATCATAAAATTCCTCACATGCCGCTTGCTTGTTTGTTTGTATCCAGTTTGGGTTAGACATGGAAAACCAACGTTTTGAAATATGTACACATTTTCTTTGGCATTAAAACACATTTCTCCTTCTGTCCAGATGTTACTTGCGTCTCTCTTAGTTACAGGGAACTTACATAATTATCATGCCGAATAAAGTAACCAACAAGTTCATATAAAATATTTGTAGAGACTTAAATGTGAGTAATTTGCACAGGCAGAAAATTAGTAAAGTAATTTTGTTCTAAGTAACGAATGATCTTGACCACATCAAAGAAGTTCTTATCAAGTTTAGCGTAGAAAAGTCAGCATGATGCGAATATGTTTGTGCGTTCGTCTTACCATCATGATTTACGAACCATTTAACGGATGTTTTATGCAAATTCGTATTTACATCATGCCAGTTCCTTGTAATTGTTTATTGACAATTATCGCTAAAATAAACATTCCTACAGCTCGACCTTCTGAGGGTTTAATGACCTTGGAACCGCTAGTAACGCAGAGTCGCGATATTTTATGTGTTACTAAATCTTAAATAAAAATGCCACTTGTTCAAAACAATCTTTATGGGTTGTGAAACAGAAACGTAACACTTGTTCGTAAGTATATGGGGTCTGCTTAACTTCCGGTTTTATGGCGTTAAGTTATTGAACGTAAATCGAGGCACGTACAATTCTGTATTGACGTAGATTACCACAAAATCTGTGCGGTCAGTTTATTATATGTTAATTTTTAGGGCGCAGTACACAATGCCGGTAACTGCATTTTATGAATATATTTTTGATTTTCGTATGACGCGCAAATAAACAGAATTTATTTTTTTCTGCAGTGTTAGCCACTTAACCTTTGCCGTGGAGAAGCCTTCGTGGTTTTTAAAAAACTCCAGTGCTTTCCAGTATTGAAATAATGTTATGTGCACAATGCCTCAGGCATCCTCTAGGCTGCAATTGGTCGTAGATTCGTAATCTGTTTGGGTCGTGGTCCTTGTCCCTTTCTGTGTTGTCGGATGACTGTATGGGTCTTGCTTAACACCTTGTTGGGGATAAGCACGGCTTGTCTGGTGTGTTCATTACGTCATCTCTGTTTCTGAGTTAGAACACACTCCGGAGAAAAGCAGAAGGGGGAGACGAAGAATTGTTAGACGGATCACACTTGTAAATTTTCTAACGCGACTAGGACATAAATCCCACGTCAAATTTAATCGATTTCATTAACAAAAGCCAAAGTGCTTGGAACGTACAGATGCATCATTTGCAGAATGCAAATTACTTCTTGCGCCTAAGGAATTCTTGTTGGCTGGAATTAACTTTCGTTTGTATGTCTGGAAACGTGCGCTTTAAATACGCAGTATTGATTGCTTTATTCGATTGTTATCGATCAGTTTCGATCATTATTTTACACTAACCTCAAATCAGTGATAACTTAACATTTTTTTTCTGCAATGTACGCAATCACGCCTTCTCTGCTTGGTTCATTCAGGCTCAGTAGTGGTTTTCCTTGACCTGACGGACTTCGCGTCGCACGAGGACTTAGACAGTGACAATTAATCATTTTGTTTTAGCGTAATAAGACATGACAGTAGCCGGAGGTAAAAATACCTGATTTAACACGCAGGTTAATCGTCACTATTGGTTAGTTACTCAGTTATTTGATGACGTTATATCAGCTGCTGATGTTATGTTGCGTAGTATAGAATGTATCCCACTAAATAAATGGAAATATCTGGATTTATTTATGAGGTTTTGGTGGAGGTACCAACATAACGAATGAAAATATCACTCAGGAAATTCGGTTTGTTGTCTGGATTGAAACCTTGCGTCGTTAAATTGCACGTCGGAGATGTTGTTGATGGATCAGCCCACTAGGTCGTGATTGGTACGAGTTACGATAACGGTAAATGACGAGAGGTACTGAGTTTTTAACAGGAAGTTGGTCAACGTGAAGAAATGGAGATAGCGCGTTGAAGTACGCATGCGTATTATGTAGCCCAAGAATCTACAATCTGCGGCCTGCGGGCCGCATTTGGCCTTTGCAATTTTTGTGTGCGTTATTCTGGAATTAGCGAAAGCCAGTCTGGATTTACCGATCTGCGAACCAAGTACCTCCCTAATTAAAGCATTAGTGCCTCAAATCATATGACTACAAGCCAAAGAACAGTTATGAAATGCAAAAAAATCAGTTGATACTGTAAAATTTAAAGGATAATTCTTTACTAAAGAGATGATACTAAGACAGTATTACTCCGTGGTTGATTAGTAGCTTTATATTCATCTCAACTGCGCTGGTCATCCGCGACATACACGAAAAAGGTTGAAGTTACAACTAACCAGCTCTAACGGTATTTCATCCGCACTACACGTGATGATTACACCGACGTACGTAACTAATCACCAGGCATTAGGGTAACAGTGTCTACCTCACAGCATATTTTTTTCATACTTTTATAACCAGGATTCGGTCGCGAGAACTATAGATGTGAGAACAAGCCGTGTGCTGGGCTCTGCCTAACGAATCCCCTCCCACGGTGATTATGGTGATGCAGTCACTGACCCTTAAAGTAGGTCGGTTTTGAATCACATCGCGCGCAAAGGTTTGATTACCTCAAGTGTGTGAATCCATTAGTAATCAGAGAATACACACGGAAGTCGCCTTCTTTGTAATTTGCCGCCACTGTCTTCCTTCTTATTAAGTATTCGTAGCGAGCAGTAATTTCGTCAAAACTCTCGTAAGGCCGATGACATTAATCGACTTATTTTGCCTTCTTGTAGTTTCCGCTGCATTTACGGCTTCTCTTAACATTTCCTAGTAATAGGATACATATTAGGTCAAGACTGTTTTGTCTCAAATTTTATGTTACTAAAATTTAAATCGTAACACATTCTATGTACTATTGCTTTGTATTAATTAATTTATTTTCCTGCACCTTACATATCCATAAATTATATAGCATCTCGTACTAAATATGAATTATGATAATAAACACACTGAGTTGTCTTTCTGTCCCAAAGAAACAGCCGGAGTTTGAAGCTGTTCATTCATTAATCTCCAGGAAGTCCTGTGTTTGAGAATGTCTGGAGCTTTTCCATTGCGTTGCATTTCTTCATCAGTGCATGAGTCTTAGACGCAGAAAGTTATGCCCCATTTTTAATTGATGTTTCTTTGTCTTGCAGGTGCTCTGCTGACAAACGTAAGTAGACTTCAGTGACTCTCAGATAAGTTAAGAGAAAACATCAGTGGCGTACCTGCCCACATGCAAAGATGTCAGCTGCAGACTGTCAACTGTTGCGTCCATTGTCGGGATTTCCAATAGTAATAATTTCGTAATGATTTAGTTCTTTTATTGGGTCTGAAGATTCGTTAACTTGTTCACAAAAGCCGTGGGCAACTCTTTCCAGTTTACTTCCTCGCAACCTGTCAATTTTAATATTATCCCAACTACGCCAAGTGCAAGTTGCGCGTGTTATCCGATAATTTTTATGTTACAGAAATTTATTAAGGTATTACGTTATTTTTAGAAAGTTTTGTTTTAATGCGAATGAAATGAGGTTCTCACGGCAGATAGTACGAAAATGGCTGTCTTCTGGGTTGTAGCGTTTTGTAGTCTGGTAGAAGTTTACCAGAGGTCCCTGCTGCCTCCATCCTTAGGACAGCAAAGACCTGTCTTGTATTCTGGAAGTACACGGTTTGACTCCTGAACAGGGCACTGCGATCTTCCCTTGGTATTCCTCAGTACTTCCATGTGGTTGACGGGAAATGGATCGCCATGCTCTGAAACGGTTGGAAAGGCTCCTGGATTTTAATTTGCTGTTATTCTCTTCGTGAATGTATTTTTATTTTTTGCTGTAGTTCCCAAATGTTTTAGCACTGCCACAGTTTTGAAGTAAGTCACTTATTACCTAACATTATGTCATGTTTTTTTTCCTATGCTCTAAAACTTACTTAGTTTCTGAAACTTTACTTACTCTACCATGCAGTGCCATGTTGTGTTGTAGACCTATCCCATAAATGTGCTTTATAGGTCCACGCAAAGCCTGTAAAGTAATTTCTTATTTGTAGTTAGCTCGTGGACGAAATACGAGATTAGACAGCAGAAATATTCTTCGCGGTATTTTTACACATACTTTTAACTTTACTGTTAGGATGTTTGTGTCTTCTGACATTAAATATACTTCCTCTGAAACTTCGAATTATTCAAATAATAATTTTGTTTTAGCACGAATTTCTTGTTATAATAATTTATAATAAATTATTGTCAAAACGCTAATGAGAGTCTAATCAAGGTGTCAGATTTTTTATCTGTTTTATTAAATTCTATTTCATGAGTATTAAAAACAGAAGACATTCGGAATGACTTGCACAGGTCACAACTTAGAAACTTTAAGTTCATTGCCCCTTCATTTATTTTTTCTCAAGACGACTAACGTTGACTTCAGGCAAATTATCTTTTCTTACTCCATTATCACAGAAGAACTCACAGCGACGAGCAGACGTTTGGAGTAGCCTTTTTAGAGGTGATCCGACTGAAACCGTAGTTTTACTCAGTCCCCCAGTAAATTACAACAGTGGAATTTTACTCCAGTAGTACATTTTACATAAATTTCCAAAATAACTTGAGATTTTCCACGCCTTCCTGACTATAGTATTCATTTGTTGACATTCGTATTCATTGTTGCAAAAAAGAATTATGCTCGCAACAGATGTAATGCATAAAATCAGAATATATTGTTCTTTCTAGTTATTTAAACATTCATCACATTGAAAAGTATTTCAAATATGATTGTAAGCCTAATGAATCATTGTTTTATGTGGTATGTTATTTTTGAGTAATGTTTTTATACAATAAAGTTCGACCTGAATTTATACGAAGTATAACTTGTAATTAATCAAATAATTTCATTAACCCAGTATTGAATTCGCTCTATTAGATTTAGTGTAATTAGATTCCCAGAGGCAGTTTATGCTATTTATTTAATAATTGCAGTAATTTAGTAGATACGATGCTACCCCCAAATACTTTGTCTCATACGTTCTTCCATTAAATCTCCTATAATACAACTGATTGAAATATAATATTAAAAAGGATTTATGGGCGGTGAGGATTAGAGTTGGCTGGAAATTTCTCAGGATCATATCCAGTGGAGTTTTCCGTCGTACGCGATGCTGTACCTCTGAGTTATGTTGCCATAGTCTTGCCCATTTGACTGCCGGCTTCGCAGTCTGCCGACGTACAAACGTTTCAGGCGCAAACAGCTGTTTGTTTTCTAGAGAATGTGATCGACTTTCGATCCGCTGTTTCTCGCATTCGAATTCAGACAAATGGCCTTTCTGTGTCTTTTTCGTTCGTCTCTTCTATTGCCAATTTCCAAACTTTAAGGACCTGTCAGGTCTTTTGACGTCTCCTCTTCCCCGAGGTCTACATTCTATGTATCTCTTGGACGTCTGACATCCTTAATCCTTCTCACATGAGCTGACCATTGCGTCTTGTTTTTTGTCTTCAATTTTTCCGTCAAACTGAAGTTATTGTATTTTTAAATATATAATATATTTCAGGGTTTCAGGTTATATATTTCGAAAATTTTAAATGCTATTATAAGACCCACTTATACATGACATATGTTACAAGCCATACTTATTTAACATTTATACATTTATTTATATGTATAATTAATTATTAAAATGTATAGTCTACTATAGTTCGAAACTATACGACAATTAAATTGCAATTTTAAATTGATTTGAACTGTTCTTATGCTAAATGTTGTGTGTCCTTCTCATATAATTGGCACTTTACATCCATTTTCTTGGTTTCATTACCTTCTATGCTGTTTTATTGGTGTACGTGATTTTTCAATATCCTCTACTGTGTTCTGTTATGCACCAAGATTCCACCAAATTGTTTCACTGAGCGTATGGTCGGCTAATATCCGCCCAGTAAATGCCTGAAGGCGAATCCTGTCTGCTTACCTTCTTCTTCTTCTCCTTTCTTTACATAATTCATGTATTGGGTCCAGACATCGAAGCAGATCGTGCAGTTACTTTATAAAGCCTTAATTTTTACGTCGTTTGGCGTATTTCTACAAAACTTTCTCCGTTGATTTTTGCTTAAGGTATTCGTCGTATTTCGGTAACGTGGTCTTACGGCTGTCAGAACTGAGTTACTGGGTTCGAATTCTTCTTGGGACACGTTTATTTGCCTTCATTTCACTGGTATCATACAATGGACTTTTTTTTGCGTATTTATTTATTTAATGACGCTGTCAGCAGCAGAAGCTGACTGTACAACGTAGAGCAATGGAGTGGTCGCCCACGTAAATGCTTTAATACGCGTGTCAGTACGATTAACAGACGTTCCACGCTGTTGAAGAGAAATGCTCAAAGCTGATGAAGAACAACAATAAGGAGGAGGAGGAAAAGTAAGACATAAGAAGGAGAGAGAAGACAAAGAAACTTAGGCGGAAGAAATTATGTTGCCGAAGATAATGGTCGTGGAATGGAACGAGACAAGTAACAAATTACACTTTCTGGTTGTTTGCGTGTGTTTGTCTGTTACGGCTGGCTGGCGGAGTGGAAAATGGCAGAGAGGTAGCACAAAGAAGATGAAAGTTATATTTATTTGTTCTATATTTATATATTTATTTATTTGTGATTTATTTAAGGACAGTGCCAGCTGCTAGGGATGTATAAAATCGAGTGATGAAACGGGGAAGGATAATACCTCGGAGATCACCGTCAATGTGGAGACTGTAAGTATCTGCGAAACGTCGGACAGTTTATACCAGACCTCAGGGCAGAACACCCTACGAGACATTTGATGCTCGTCTCCGTGAGAACCTAACATCTTCCAATTGTGCATATTCCAGCGTAAAGATCTGACACTTGTCTGCATTTTGATAAAAAAGAGCATTGGGATTTATATTCATAAGATCTGCCGTGTTCCTACAGAATTAGCATAAAGGTTCTGCAGAAATTGGCGTCTTGTGACTGATAGTGCGTTGTGAAGTGTCCGTGTGGGTTCTATATTTCAGTTCTTATAGCATCAGACGTAAATTACACCGCGGAAAAGATGCAGAATCAATTGTTGCCCAGGCTGCTGTGACGTAAATGCGATCAGCAGCCCGTTTCAGCAAGGACGCGTCGACGGCGGGATGTTCTGTTGGCTGTAGGACGACCGGAGGGTTCATTTGCCACAAGGCAAGTCGCTTCCCGTCCCTAAAAGAGAAGTGTTCTTGTTCTCTGCATCTGGCAGAACACGTGTTCACGGTGGAACACACAGTCATATTCTGATGCTCTGAATTTAATGATTTACGATTTGCTTTATCATATCATTTTTTTTAGAATGGTATTTTCCACGTGTCAGTACACTTAAGAACATCTTCTCACGCATGTTTCGATCCCGTGTAAATAAAACTAAGGATCTTTAGTACAAGACCGTAAAGGGAGAATTCGGACTGACATACACAAAGTTCCCACATTTTCCGAATATGAATTACCTTACATCATTTCAGGACCGTTTATTCGGTAGACCCAAAGTTGCTCCTATCAGTTGTAGGAAAATAAAATGTCCTAAAATGGCAGTCTTCAGGGGTGATTCCACATGCAGTCTGGTAGACGTTTACCGGCGTATCAGAGGTGCTTGCTGCCTCCATCGTCAGGGCGTGGCTCAACGTGGCCCGGAAAACACCCGTCCCCTTAAAAAGGCCTCGTTTCTTAGCTGTCGGACTATTTTGATTTCAAGTCATTATTAATTTTATAACACTCAGGTTAGTAACACCTCAGTATTTTCATACTGTTTTATTAAATTCCATGTCGTTTGAACATCTGATCAGTGCACTTTGTGCAATAACGCGATTCTAACGTAATAGACCTACACCTTTTCATTGAATATTTCCCCGACTGTTTGCCCTAGAGGCTAGACAGTGTAGTCTATACACAAATAGGCCTGTATCAATGTTTTACTCAGTAGCAGAACATTTTTTACCTTCTCGCATTTGTTAATTTCCAAATCGTTTAAAACTTTTGCGAGTGCCGTTCGTAACCCGCGAGCTCCAGGTTGCTGACTACTGGCGTAACGCATTAGAAACATGCAAGCAGTCCGTGAGACTACTGTCGGAAACTTCAAGGCAGTAGTTTATTAGATGTTTATGAGCGACACTTAACTATTATGGCTCAAGAATAGAATTGTTTCGA